CCCAAAAATAGACCTGATCGCAGGCGAAGGTTTGATTGTAAATTACGAAAGTGTATGTTATTCTGAGTAAAAAGAACCTTGCCTGCTGTTCCAGAGCCGCTGCTTTCAAAAATGGCGGCTGCTTTAAAGAATATTAGGCCAATGATTTCAGGATCGAAACGGAAAATCCATTGCGAAAAATATGAGTTTATAATAAGTTTTTATTTTTCTAACTTGTATATATGGATACAGACATGTAAAAAACATAATTCTTAGGGCGGACCACCCAGGGAAAACTTTTTACAACCAAAAAAGTCAGACTTTTTCGATGTTTTTCGTTTTTTTCACCTATAAGTCCTAAATGATGCATCAAAGCGAAAAATGTACTCTTTGATAAATTAAAAAACATTAAATTTTGCGTCAAACAAAAGTACATACATAAACTTTATAATTTGGTTACGCTGTAAGGTAGAAAACTACGGTCAACCAACGCTGATTTTTACTAAATTTGTCAAAAACAGAGACAAATTACTATAAATGGCCATGTAACTTGAAAATGAGTTCCCTTAGAGGAAAAACCCATAGAATCTAAGTGTTAAGTCAACTGAGTACTGACATTTTTATTGTTGGCCAATTATATAGCTCGAATCGGGATTCGTTATTCCTTTATAAAATTCGTTATATTTCGATACATCGTTTACCAAAATCCTTTGCTGCTGAGAGGTGGAAAAGAGGCTTATACTGCATTTAACAGATTCTAAACAAAAATAACTCAGTAGAATCGACATCCATACTGTTGAAATATTGGAAATCATGTTTTCCTTAATTACTAATTTCTAACCTTCGGAAGGTTACCGATTTTGTTCGGAGAAAAGTGACCTACATTAAATTAGTTGTACTCAGTTGCCGCAAAATTGGATGCTCTACCACTTTGATTCTATGTTTTTTTTCCTCTAAAGGGAACTCATTTTCAAGTGCCAGGGCCATTTATAGTAATTTGTCTCAGTTTTTGACAAATTTGGTAAAAACCAGCGTTGGTTGACCTTGGTTTCATACCTTACTGCGTAACCAAATTATAAAATTTATGTACTAGTTTGGCGCAAAATTTAATGTTCTTATATTTATCAAAGAGTACATTTTTCGCTTTGATGCATCATTTAGGACGTATAGATGACAAAAAACGAAAAATATCGAAAAAGTCTGACTTTTTTGGCTGTATAAGTTTTCCCTTGGAGACCTGCGTTTTTTTACAAGTCTAAATCCATATATACAAGTTAAACAAATAAAAAAAAATCTCACATTTTTCACAATGGATTTCCCGTTTCGATCCTCAAATTATTGGATTAATATTCTTTAAATCACTCACCATTTTTTAAAGCAGCGGTTCGGGAACGGCAGACAAGGTTCTTTTTACTCAGAATAACATACACTTTCGTAATTTACAATCAAACCTCCACCTGCGATCAGGTCGATTTTTGGGTCCTGGCTCCAGGGCATGAATGATTTGCTGCAATGTTATCGCAAAGTACACGTCTGATCACAGTTCATAATGTTATAGAAGCTATTTCAAAAATACTTTGTGATGAAATAATCATTTCGGACTGAAAGTGCTAGAAAAAAGGTGAAGACAGACAAAACGATTTTGGTCAGGAATTCGATGCAAAGAAAATGAGAAACGGATACAATATTAAAAGAAATATATAATGAAGATCCCCGTATACATAAAGCAGTGATGATAATGGTAATTATTTCATCTATCCTCCACTTTTGGTTTTTACAACCACTGCAACACGCACATAAAAAAAAAAAACACTCTCAGCAAAACTAATATAATGTAGTTTCGTGGTCCAAGGCGTACAAGATATTCTCCATTCACAATACGTATGCCTGTTTCCGGGATGGTGGGGGGAAGCCGAGTGAAGAGTCAAAACAAAAAACTTAGTAGTAACTCGGATGCGAGTTACTGACCTATTCGCACAAGACAGTTTCTCGTATGAAGCGGTCTTACGGTGCCGTTGGTAATCATTGGACGCGGAATATGATGTTCTACAACTTATATTCTATGAGTTTTTTCTCTTTTGGAAACTGATTTCCAAACTACAGGACCATTTATAATAATTTTTCTCAGTTTTTAAAAAAAATTGGTAAAAATCAACATTCTTTGGCGGTGGTTATCGACCATACCAGTTAACCAAATTAATGTATTAAGGTTAGGGACTCGTTTGTCTCCCATGTTCTTTAATTTCTTAGAGTATTTTTATCTCATCGATGCAAAAAGTTTTACCTTGATAGCCGGCGTTAGCGATTTTGTTTTTAACATGTTTAAACCTATATTAAAATATACAAGTTAAAAAAAATTAAAACTTTTCTGATATTTTTGTAGTACATTTTCTGTTTCCGTCCTGAAGTTACAGACCTAATATTTTTTAAATCAAACGTCATTTTTCAAGGTAATGTAATCCGACTGGCAGGCTTTCATTATTAAATATAAATCTTATGAATATTCAAATGCTTTCAAAATTTTTAGCGTACAATGTGAATTTTTTTGGACAGGCTATTAGTATGGTGATTTATAACGAATAATGAATCTAGACGGAACAATATCAGTGCTTGGGTATACTGATGACTCAATAATTTTAAGTGAAGATACGGAAAATACAAAACTAAGTACACTAATATTGATAAAAGCTGATAAAGAATTGAGGTTGTAAATAATTACGGCCAAGAAAACATTTATGGTTAGTTGGAAAAACAGTGACAATTTCATTCGATAAACATATAGAAGGGTATACGCTTAAAGACGTAAAAAGGTTTAGGAATTTAGGGACTACAACTAGAATGGAAGTTTGTAGACAACGATCATTGGTATCGGAATCGAATCGAGGGTTCGCCAACCATTTTTATTATTATGATTATTGTTTTTATGATATAGTAAATCTAAGTATTATGATTAAATAGTGGTTAATTTAAATTATTCAATTTTTGTTAACGTGAACTTCATAGCATGTGACAGGAATGATATTCATCATCTAATTACATTCTTGCGGTATATCGTCCGAATTTGGAATAACAGCTGTTTTATACTTCTCGAATTGGCAACACTCAGCGAGCTTGAAGAAGCAAATGAAGCTCGAAAATAAACTGAAAATTTTATCATACCTTTGAGAGCTTAAGGAATTGCTTTGCACAATCATTAATTCCGTAGCCGCATTACAAGAAATACCATACCATATTCGAGCCTCTCTTTGAAATAATATCTCAGAAATAGCATCAGAATTACATGGAATAAATAATCATTGTATCTTAATAGAACGTAAACTTAATATAAAAAAAAGGATTAAATTCATCAATCTAAAGTTAATTTATAAGTTTTTAGTTGTTGAATAAATAAACATATTTTATGAATTACCTTCAGATACATTCCGTCTCTCTCTCAAAAAAAATTTATTTTTCGTCAGATATTTGCTACAATATACAAATATTCATTCAAGACTGCCCTGACTATGAATCAATTCAAGTTTGTCCCCAATATGACATACCATTTAACCTCGACATTGAAACAGCTTCCTACGCAGACGACATGGTTACTTTCGTTTAATACGCAGATCTCAATCCTCATTCATGTTCGTGTTTCATTGACTTTTCGACATTACATACCAAAATTAAAGAACTATTTTGAAAAATTGATAATTGCCACAAGTTTTCAGAGCTATAAAAAAGAATACATATTTAATGTAATAACATTTAGCACAGAGGGAGTAGTGCAGAGATCTCCTGGAATCCTGCTTTTCCCTACATAGTTGGAGGGACGAGCCTGGCTTGCAATTTCCTTATTTGATTGTAAATAATATGTTGATGTCTCTGTTTGTTGATGTGTTATGTTTTACAAAAAAAAAAACAAGAAACTGGAATACTAAAACTAATAATGATCTAACAATAAACTGGTTCTTTTATTTTTTAAAAACATATTTATTGAAATTTATAACTGTTTACATGAAAAATACAAGTAAATTTGAAATTGGTAACGTGACATGTATAACATGAAGAGAAACTACCCATTGGTAGAACTCCAATTATAGTAGTCCCTACACCATTTTCTTTTCAGAGGGTTATCAAGAATAGAAGAGGAACCAAGGTTAGAAACAGGAAGATTCGGATGGTTCAGAAATTTATTATGCAAGGATTAGTATCTGGATTGAGTTAATTCGGAAAAATACGGTATATTAAGGTCGTTATGAATGATTTTATTTGCGGCGAAACAGGGAGTATTGAGTATTTTACGAAGATTTTTGAATAGTAAGGATTGGATACGAGATAAATTTGATGGTTTAGTAGAAACCCAAACCTGAACTACGTAATTCCAAATAGGTCTTATTATTGCCATATATATATATCAGTCGTTAGTAATTGGTCGAAAGCTTTGATAAAAAGAGCGTTTGCCTAGTAGTGCTGGAGTAATCAAAAACGTCTAACGGTTTCTTATCGTTTCATTCTCAAGTGAGTCGTTTGTCCAGACGGAGTATTAGGTATCGGATTTGTTCAACAGAGATAAGTGAGGTATTGTTAAAGGATACTGTAGGGCCGAAAGTCATAGATTTACGACGAAGGATAAAGGTAATTTGATGGGATTTATTGGAATTTATTTGAACCCTCTAGTTTTACAGCATTCTTCAAGGTATGTGATGTGTGATTTTAGAAATTAATTCTAAAATATTCTTTGAAACAGTGATGCGACTGGAAGAGAAGTGCTGGGATCGGTTTGAGCATTGCTTTGCCTTTCACATGAAGGATGGTTCAGAGTTCCCCAGGCTGAATGTAAATACCGTAAATAAGATTGAATACGTAACAAGTATTATTTTTTTTTATTATCCATTAATTGAGTTTTTTTTTCCTTTTATTTTTAAAAGTATCTATATTTTTGTTATTCTTTTATTGTATATATTTTTTACTTACATGTTTTCTTTTTTTTTTCTCAATTTGTACATAATAATATGAATGTACACATAGAGCCTTAATACCCAATGCCAATGATTGTGGCAGCTTGTATTATTATTCTTCCAATAAAAAAAAATTCTGAAATAAAGATATATTCGTAGAACAATGATATATAAGTAAATAAGAGGAAGTAAAAATAAATAAAAAAAAAGGTTTTGTTATTTCTGTCATCGAATATTGTTTTTACTAATTCTGTCTAAATTCATTTAAAAAACCAATAGGAAAACAACGTGCGTCCTAATGATGAAGCTGAGAACCACCAGACAACCCAAATTCATGTTAAGCAGTTTCTAATCCAGTTCAAAGTTTAGCCCAACCACAAATTATTTAATCCTCTCTGCCTGATATTACAAATTAGTTCCTAATCGTAAATAACTGAGAATTATCAATGAACTTTCTGACTAAAATAAATTAAAATTTAATTACCTACATTTATCATTATTAATGTTTAAACTGAGGACATAATTATTAATCAATCTTTGTTTTATGTATATGTTTATATTGAATTATGTTTGTTTCTATTTCAGTTATATATATATATATATATATATATATATATATATATATATATATATATATATATATATATATATATATATATATATATACATATATATATTTCCGTACTTATTTTATTCCTTTTACCTGATGACGACATAATGAAGGATCTTCTACTTGTGGGATTTTTGTGGAATTCGGCATATCTCAAATAATATCTCAAAGTGTAATAATTATTGTAATACTCTAATGGACTATATTTTTAATTATGATTTTAACATTAAACCATATGATATATAAATAATTGAAACATCATATGGTAATGTATCATCATATTTATTTATTGTTATTGTTGATGTGTTATGTTGAAAATTTTACATTCTGAATCAATATCAATAATTGATATTTTAGTTGCTTGATTTTTTGTCAATTATGATCTCTAAGTTAGTTAAGTTAGTTTTAATATTTATAATGTAGTAATAAAGGGGATGAACTGTACACCATATGATACAGAAATAAAATATAGGTCTGTATATATATATATATATATATATATATATATATATATATATATATATATATATATATATATATATATACATACACAGAGTGTCACGTAGAAGGAAATTGCGATAGGAGTGACAGCAGATCTCAAGAACTACATAAAAGTTCATATAAAGAATGGGCCAATTTTGAGCAAAAAGTTTTGCATTTTTTTTAAAGTGAGTAACGTTTATTGTTGAATAGGAAGCAATAACTAAAGAAATGTTTAATTTAAGTAATTGACGATTACTTCTCTGTAAAGTAAATAAAATTTTATTGGATTGAAAAGAGAGTTTGTCTTGAGATTTGGTCGATGGTCAGTCTCTTTCAGCGTTCCTCATTTCAATATCTTTGGGGGGAGGGTTAAAAATATGAGGAATTTTTTTCAATCATCAAGCAACTTGATTATATAGTGAACCTACATATACTTCAAAATAAAAATATAATTAAGTTTCTCTGCTCCTGACTAGACAGTTTTAACCCTTCGGTTACAGTAAATCATGAAAATTCGTAGCAATTACTAACTCTCATAGTTTGAATCTGCGAAATTATTTATTCTTGGATTATAAGCGCTTTTTTCAATCTTAGTTAGTAAGCTCATTTGGGTGAAGTTTTAAATACAATTGCTTGTTTTTAGATTCACTATTAAAATTATATATAGGGATATTTTTTTTAGAATTTTTTACACTATGGTTTACTATTATATGTTGTTTATTTCCGTAATCTTGATTCTGATGATGCTAATTTCTTATATGTTTTACTATGTGTAGAATTGGGCGAAAAATGGGCCAATTAAATCCCCAATAGGCCGACATAATGAATCAAATAATGTCGAATATCGTCTTCTGTTGAAATGCGATTGTTGTCAATTCAAAATTTACAAATCTGCTAAGTAGTCTCAGAGAAAAGTCGTTGATCACTTTTTTTTTTAAAATATATTTTTAGATTTTTCTTTCCTTAAAACGTAAAATGTCACATTTAAGAGAAGTTTATATATTTATTTGTTAACGGATTCCATCATAAAAATTTCTCTCTATTCTAATCTCGATATTTGAAGTGGCATTAAATAAATTATATTTTCGTCAGTTATTAGCGCACTTCGTATAGCCATAATATGAATGAGTTTATTTTTTGTAATATTAATAATTTACATAAAGGTACAATTAAAATGTTTATGGATATACCAATAAAAATATGATCTTAAGATTTAGATTAATATGTTTAACCTTTTCATGGGAGATATGGATTCCAGAGTAAAGTGCGAAACTGGAAGTATAATAGTAGGAAGATACGATGACGATAATGGAAATGACTACGGCAACAGCCTAAAAGAAATTTGCGAAGAATTCTAACTTTCTATACAGAACACTTTCTTCCAACATAAAAACATTCATAGATTCACTTGGGCACAAAAAACGAAATTTAAGATCTATGATTGACTTCATTGAAACGAGACAAACTAGCTCCATCAAATTGCACAAAGTTTGGTTGTATAGTGAGGGGGGGGGGTGTGAGAAGCTGAATGTGGCTCAGATTATTTTCTTGAAATCTGAGTGGCTATGGAAAAAAAACATCATAAAAAAAGCTTGAAAAAAATTATTAGTACAGAAAATATATAAAATTAAGCTATTACAGGTTGAAAGCATACCTTGAATGGGAGTGAAGAAATGTATAAATACATTATAGTAATGATCAACAAAATAGTCAGAGAAGTTTTAGGAAAAGATATTTCCAAAAGAAAACACCAACTATTGGATAAATGAGGAGATAAAACTTCTGATAAACGTGACGAAAAAAGCGTATTTCCAACGGATATCTACAAAAGACAGTTTAAGTCCAACAAAGTATACTTACTTAAAAAGAATCCTTAACTACGAAATACGGAAAGCAAAAAACGATGAATGGAAAATAATGTGTGGGAATAGTTTTTAAAAGGTCATTATTTTTCCGACAAAACTATAAAAAAAAATCGTCAAAATCAGTTAGCTTTAACAACGTTTAAAGTGTATTGAATTTTATACACTGATTTCAATAATTGTTCACTTGCCCGTTTACATAGCTTTAGTTCATCAAAGAAATTGTACTCTTATGATGTCTCTGATCGGCTATCGGGAACATTATTCTAATTAATGTTCAATTTGTAATATTTTGTAATATTTTTAATGAACATATTTTAAATGATTGGTGACATTGAATAGATTGTCTTTAACCTACAACTCTTTCATTCCAAGATGGGGCTCTATCACTATCTTTCTTGGCAATTCTTTTAATTTGTTTAATTGTCAAGTTAATTTTATTGATATTGTTGGACTTTAATATGTTCAGGACAATCATAACGCCTAAAAATACCTATTCTGTAGCGTTTTTCTAAGATCTGACATGTTTAATAAATAAAAATAAGCTAATAGGTAGGTAACTGCAAGAGTCTTACACAAGACCAAGACTCGTCTTAGTCTTGCATTTGGGCAACACTTACCAGAAAATCCTTATTTCTATAAACGTAGGAAGGTAAGTATAAGGAGTGTGACCGTATTCGATTTTTGCAACTTTTTTTATAATTAATTAAGGTTAAAGTTCTGAAATTGGTATTCGTCACTTCCCCATGAAATTCCCGTTTGTTCGAAATCTCATTCATCCATGTCCGTCGTTCCTGAGGTAGCTCGAACATGGATCTATGATATCGAATTATGTACAGTGTACATTTCAAGGTTCTATGTAACTTATCTTTTTCTTCAGGGTTTTGGCCTCTGGGAATGTAATTATTCCAATTGATTGGGTGCTCAGTTATGTATCATTGATGGGTGTGTACCTGTGTTATAGATATGTCATATACTTTCAAGTTTAAATATTTTCAATACATGTTTTAATTCGAGAAAGAATAATATATATTATTATTGAATAATTACAAATAAAGAATGATTTGGGGATTTTAAATCAGGCTTTTAAATAAGATCCTCTCAAGCAGGGAGGAATACTTTGGGGAAATAAACTAACTTATAATAATAATTATTTGTGCAACAATAAATTAAATTGGCTGTACCGGGATAAACATATAACATAATTGGTTTTTAAAATATTAGAAACTACTTCTGAATAAAAAACGATAAAATAAAATTGCTTTATTTTACCGTTTATTTATTATTTTGTTTAAGTAAGTGTTGTTTGTTGTATTATTACCGCTAAAAATTATTTTGTTTAAGAATAAAACTGTGCATCATATCAGAGAAGTCAGTGTTTTGCAATAATGATTAGTTTTTTGACATTTTTAATAATAATTTATTAATGTCCCAGTTGAATTTTGATTTGTAGGAACCGGTTGCACCAACAGTCGTTATAAAAATTAACATTCTCTGCTAACTGAATCACTTTAACACTTAATTAATATTTAAATTTGGGTCGTTTCTCCAAATAATTTTTAAACCGAGTTAGTTAACAACGTGTTACGTCATCTTATTTATAATGTATAACAAGAACTAGTGATTGTAAAGGAACTTGTTCGAGGCCCAGAAACCATTTTACCCAATCAATAACTTCCCCCCGAAACTTCGTAAATAGCTTCATTTCACCATAACCTACTAATATTATTTTTACGAACATTTTCGGAATTAAGTCGTTATTCATCAGGAGATTAATTAATACTTTGTCGAATTAATTAGATTATAAAAACTCTAGAATAGCCATTTATTTTCCACTTCTATCGTAACATAATATGATCACAAAGTCGAAACAAAATGTAGCCTACAAACATATTGATCGGTTTGGCGTGACCTCTACTCAGAAAAAGTTAAAATAACAAGATTATATAGAACAAACGTTCCAATATTTTTGTAGGTCACATTTTTATTTTATTTTACTTATATATGTAATATATAATAAGGGTAAGTATTGCGATCGTGAAAATTTTCGAGTCTTTCAAGTCTTCAACGGAAATACACGTTTTGAGGTACCCTGAGTCCAAATAACCAAGTCCCGAAATAATGGTCTGTGTGTCTGTGAACACTCTAGATCGAAAACGAAAAGTCTTACTAAACCGATATTACTATTTAATATAGGTATATATATAACTTAGATGTCCTAGCAACTTTTTCCTTAAAATCGGCTAACCGGAAGTGCCACTTCATATCAACGCTAAAACACATTTTTACAATTTTCTTAAAAACGGCTCTAACGATTTTGATTAAACTCGGTGAATCATTGTATAATTAAGAGGTCTGTGATATAATTTGATATCACTTTATATGACTTAAATGCCCAATGTTCATATACGTCTTCCTCTAAAGTACCTTTAATATGGTTAATTTCAAATAATTAACTATTTATCATTATTAAAGGTTGCGAAAAAATGCTAAATATAGCTTTTGAAAGAATTTGATAATTGAATAAAGGAGAAAAAAATAAAGATGGTTATCCAGGTCGAAAATGAATTTCCGGAAATAATAATGATAATAATGTTTGAAAACTAATAATATTTAACGTAAATCACATGTTTTAAGAAAATTAATTGAAATTTACTAACTAAATGTAAACTTCAAAAAAAAAAATTTAAGTTTGTAAAAAGTATTTTTAATTCACCTAATCAAGCCAATGGAATCGTTAAAAAAAAAACTATTTCATTGTACTTGTGTGAAAGAAGAAGTAAAATATAAAATCATTTCATGGATGTATAAAGTAT